AGGGTTAAACCAGGCAGCTCCTTAGAAGCAAGGATTCTGGGGCTTCATCTGACATACTTTAGACATGTTGTATGGAGGAACAGGTCCTTGGAGAGGGACATCATGCTTGGGAGGGTGGAGGGATAGCACAGGAGAGGAAGGCCCCCTATGAGATGGATTGATTCAGTGACGGAGGTAATCAGGATGGGTGTATCGGAGACGGTACGATTGGCACAGGATAGAACAGGGTTTAGGTCTGTTGTACATAGGGTCGCTATGAGTCGCAGGCGACTCATGGCACATAACAACAACAACAACAGCACTTTTTCAGCCACCTGATTAAAAGGGCCTGGGGCTGAGCCAGGGGCTGGGGGCGAAGCTGGGGTTGGGCCCTGGGTGGCTGGGGGCTGGGCCTAGAGTTGGGGGCGGGGCCATGGCTGGGGCTGGGCCGGGGGTGGGCTGGCCAGGGGCTGGGGGGGTATGGGGGGGGCCATGGGCGGGGGAAGGAGGCAGCTCCCAGTTCTGCAGAGGTGGGTGGAGGCGTGGGAACCAGCGAGTGAACCAGGCCCAGCCTGTCAGTGTCAGTGCTACCAGCCCGCATTTGCCCTGCCCTCAGGACTGCTTGATAACATCAGGGAAACAAGGTAAACTTCATGGGTTTTCATGAACTTTACTTGAACCCAACTTGGCAACTTGCTGGAGCTTTTTTGTCTTGGTCAGAACAGCCTCCCACTGCGTTGTCCCTATGGCTGCCCCTCAGAGCCACCACACTGTGGTCACAGAGCCACCGTGCTGATGGCCTGGTTTTCCAGCTCAGGCCGGAGACGGACTGTTGTGCAGTGGGGAGTGTTGCCTTAGCTGAGCCCCGCTGCTTGGACTATCAGAGTGGGAGGCAGCCGTGCCGCGCCCTCATCCAGCAGTTTTTCAGCCTCAGCAGCTGTCTGTGTGCATCGGACGGTCAGGGGAACTTGCTTTACAACGGAGGTGCAGGGCTCTGGGGTGTCATCTGTGCTGGGAAGCCACCCGTGCTCGCCAGGGACTCTGTGCTCCCCAGGTCACTGTGCTCCTCAGGTCACTGTGTTCCTCGGGATGGGATGTCGTGTTCCCAGGGACGCTGGGCTCCCCAGATCACAGTGCTCCTCGGGCTGTCGTGTTCCCAGGGACGCTGGGCTCCCCAGGACCCCATGCTCCCTGGAACCCTGGGACATGGTGCTCCCCAGGGACGTTGTGCTCCCGTGGGACGCCGTGCTCCACAGGGATGATGTGCTCCTCAGGATGTTGTGTTCCCAGGGACGCCCTGCTCACTGGAACGTTGTGCTCCCCGGGGTGTCATGCTCCCAGGGACACTGTGCTCCCCAGGACACTGTGCTCCCCAGGATGTCATGTTCCCAGGGATGCCGTGCTCCCCGGGACCCCATGCTCCCTGGGATGTCGTGTTTCCAGGGACACCATGCTCCCTGGGACACAGTTCTCCCCAGGACACCGTGCTCCCTGGAATCCTGGGACGTGGTGCTCCGGTGGGATGCTGTGCTCCCCAGGACACCACATGGGACACCATGCTCCCCAAGAATGTTATGCTCCCTGGGGCCCCATGGACTCTGGACATCATGTTCCTAGGGAGAGTGTGCTCCTCAGGGACATCGTGCTCCCCAGGACCCTGGGATGTGAGGCTCCCATGGGACACTGGAGGCAGCTTTGACCAAACAGCGGCGACACCTCAGGTCAGCTGTCCTGGGAAGGAAACTCCTCCCTTCATGCATCTTTCTGATGGACCTCACCTTCCCTGGAGACTGTGGTCACAGGCATGGCTCCTAGTGATTGCCAGCAGCCCGCCTGCTGTGCTCCAGAACCGTGCTCCAGACTGCTTGCCGAGCCTGGCACATGGACAAACTGCTGTGAAGGGCCCCCTGGTGCCGCACTGCATTGTTTCTTCAGCAGATAAGGGAGAGGTCGACAGGTCAAGTTCACCAGCCACTCTGGAGAAAAGAGGGCAGTCAAGATTTACCACCTCAGAAACCAGCCAGAGGGGCGCCGCTGGCCTGGGCCCACCTGACGGCCTGGGTGTGTCTCAGGCACAGCTCTGCTGCCACCCACGCCGCCATTGGAATGACAGTAATGACCTCAGCCACCAAGTGAAAACAGAAGGAAGCCGCAGAGTGACGGTTCTCCTGGTAGGACGTGCGTCCTCTATTTCCACACAGACATTTAGTTATGTCCATGACGGAATCCACGCAGATGAGGGATTTGCGATACTCCATGGAGCGTTATAAGAGGAATACTAACTTAGCCTTGGAAAGCAAGCTATCATTTACTTCACGGCCTTGGAAATTTTGGTGCTGTTTTACTTAAATGATGCAATTCTACTAATTGCTGCTATAGGCATGATTCTCAGCACCAAAAAATTAAGCATGTATTGTATTGTTTTGAAATCTGAAAGCAAGGACAATGTTTTAAACATCTCTTTACACTTTTGGTGTATTACTGGAAACAAATATTTGATAAATAGGTGATCAGTAGCTGACTGGTTGTGTTGTGAAAACTGCTTTGTGATTAGTGACTCTTTGATTTAAAATGCTCTTAAAAACCCATTTCCAAGGGGAGCTCTGGTGGCCTAGTGGCAAGAAGCTGCACTACAGTCCCAGAGG